GACTTAAATAATCATGATTTTATATAGTACAATTTTCTTCTTATATTAGCGCATCAATACCAATACAAGCTTCACAAAAATTAATCGAGAGCTTTCTTAGAAATGAGACAAGAAACACCGATTGGCTGCTAATCCGCGAAAGCCTCCTAAGAATCGAACATTGCTGATTCACGGGAGCCCTTCAAAGGGGCCGTAAATGGTATATAAGCTTATGTATCACATAAAGAAGGACTATGTACGCGAGAGACAAGCCTGTTATATTCGGGAGCGTCCATTCTTTGACGAGATTATTAAGCGTACATTTTCGTTGAAAGAGAGTCATAAAAGACTCATGTAACGAGTGGGAACATTTAATAATCTCTCGTAAATTAACTTGGCCATTTGTTCTCCACTTTGATTCAACTTCTTAATTTCAAACCTGGGACATCTTCAAGGAAATTGGCTGAAATTAATACGGAAGGAACGTCGGTTTCTTTAAGCCAATTTTCTATTGGGTTGCCTGGAAAGTTCGTGCCGTCAGACCTATCCTTGTATCACCCACCAAAAATCGGCACGAATTTTCCGGACAATCCAATACATCGTTTGAAATAAATAGACACGCTTACTTTATCTACAATATTTAAAATTTAATTACTGAATATTTCAACATCCTTTGGTGGGTAATGGGCATTAATTTATTTTCTGTGTATACGTTTAACTAAATTAGCTTTGAAGCTTGAAAAGAAATTACAATTACGTGTTTTAATTAATTTTTCACCATCATTCATTTATAGACCATTCCCTTTATTATATGTACGTTAATGATTTTTGTTTTGTGGTATGATTTCATTATTCCGTATCATATCCCTATTGAGAAATGTAATTCACTATGTTCTTTTACGTCCAGAAAGGAACAAAAGTCGTCTTGCAGAGAGTTAATTTAGTACGCATATAGTAATGATAAATATCATCATGGAAACGAGTTACTCGACCGCATTACAAACAGCAGCAAGATGAATAAACTGTCTTTTTTTTCTAACTCGCGAGATGCCTTTCGTGCTGTTTACGTATTTTGGAAGCAAAAGTGCAGCCAAGCAGGAAATGTATTTGGCTCGTTTCGACCTGACCTCGACACGTTTAGTCATTCTTTGATGTTCGTCTCGCGCCGGTGCATGTGGAAGCGAGCGTGTGAGAAATGCGGTGGAAACTCGTTCTCTACGTATCCGCGAAAGTTTCATTCCCTACGTTATTGCACTTTTATTTTTATTTACCTTCGGTGCGCGTGCTGTATCCTGATACTGTGTCAGTACGGTATTATTTATACAAAGTTTACACCTCTGTTCATAAATTTCAGGATGTATTATAAAGCATACAACAGAATTGAACGTTGTGGTCGACAAACTGAGATTAATAATAAAAAATTTGAAGAATACTCCTTTCTTACTGAAATTATATGAACAATTCTACTTAATTATCTAATTTGGAACGTATCAATTTGTTTGATGGAAAATTAATCATTCTGTGGTTATGAAGTGTGTAGATATGTATTTCTTTCTTTGGTTGGTATAATATATTACTTTTCCTGATTCTGAATTCTATTCTATGGGGTTATAAATAGCCTAATAGTGATCGTTCTACCAGCTAAACTAAAATGTCTCTTAAAAATCTTGATTGTCGGCACCTGTGTCGCTTTTGTGGACGAGACAATCCGGGATCCCTCAAGTGATGTTCATGGGACATCATGATCCGTAGGGTCGGTTTAATGGGTGTCCCCGTGGTGCGGTCACGTGCTCTATATACACGTATATCTCTATAGCAGCATATACATATAAGTGCGGTTACATACGGCGTATAGGGTGACATCCCATTAATAGCAAACTGAATGCTCGAATGACGTCGCTTTGTATAATTTACATGTATCCTTTAGAATTGACTTAATTGCAATGTATTTCACAATTGAAGGAAACTGTTCATCTAAAAAAAGTTCTTGATGCTCTATTGCCAAACGTAAATATTCTGTTCACAATGTGTCATCGAAATACTAATTACGCAAATGCAAAATGTAACATTCTATCGAGATCTCTCATAAAGCAACCGACCTTCCAACCGTTCATAATTATTTCACAATATCAACGGGGGGGCAGATCAAAAGACGAGGGAAAACGGCATTAAAAAAGGAAGTGGCGGCAGAGGAGGGCGCGAGAGGGTGTCCCCATGGAGTGGTCACGTGGCCTATATACTATCATGAGAAGCAGCAGGGGTTTGCGGTGCACAGCAGTGGGTAGCACATGACGGTGTCCCATAAATAGTCGGTCGGACGCCGGAATTTCCATTATATCGCACTCCCGTACGTAGTCTCCATAAACAATATCATCGAACTCGCCGCGCCGAAATGGCGTTCCCCATTAGGTGTTTGTCTGCGATATTTATTACGACGACGGTCATTGTAATATGCGCGATTTATGGAGGTGTACTCGAGCTGAAAACCTACGGATCGTTTTGAAAGGCCACTGGAGAGAAGGAGAATTCGGGATGAAAGTTAGAAAATAGTTGAGCAACTCGAATTTGTTCGCGGTTTTACTGAAATTCTCTACCTTCGAGTTTCGACGCGAACGCACGTACACGATATATCATGTCTATGTACTGCAGCTAGCGAAAACCCAACGATAATTGTAATTACGTTCTATTAACAAGCCGTCTACAGTGGATGTAATAAATACATGTGCACTCTAAAGTCGAAAATGATTTTCTATATAGTTTCAGTTTTCCTGAGAAGGTCGAAAGAATAGTTTACTAGATGGTACATCAAAATAATTTTCGAGAAGAGGATTGGTCAAAGTCATGCACACGAAATTGGAAATTTTGTTTTAACTTTGTTACGTGGAATGAAAATTTGTATAGTATACATATTTTGGAGAATATTCCTTGTTTACAATAAGATTAATATGTATAGTATACAATAGTGTATAACGTAGTATATAATATACTCATTGTCAGTGTTGTATTTCGTTTCACATTCACAAAAAAGTAGGCAAACAATTTTTCAAATCGACCGAGTGCATCTCTTGACCTCTCTCTTTATACAGTATGCAGCAAAACTAAACCCATCTTCTAAAAAAAAATTCAAATTCTATCGACCAATTTTTAAAAATTTCCTCCATTTTTAAGAGCATATAAATATAAATATTTTCTACACAGTGTTCATAACAAGCTGGTATATTAAAAAAATGTAAAAACATGAATTCACGTCTCATATTCCTGAAAATTTCGAAATGGTACACGAAATTATTTAATTTATGGGTAGGAATTTGTCATTTAGCAAACTGGAATCCTATGCAGTATGGTACATGTAAGTTTGTACATAAAAATAAAAAAACACATTCTCTAGTATTTATATGATCAATACATATTCCTATTAGATCATAATGCATTCGACATTGTAAACAATTTTACAATCTGTTGTTTTGGAAACTCCGATGAATAATTTTTATCGCGGTGGGAATGTTATATCTGCAATAATAAGTGTTCCAAGATACCATTTCGACCGCAGGTGTTCATGCTTTTGGCACAGTTGGTTGTTAGCCGAATATTTCATGAGCTCGACGAGTAAGTTCTGCGTCACCCTCTTTGAATGCTTCATTCTATAAAAGTGGTCTCTATAAATAAGCCGTGCGTAACTACAACGTTCCCAAATTCCTATCAATTTTATTGAACTGTATGATATATCTATGGAAAAGCACAAATTTCAATTCTGTTCTATAAAAATAGTCTGTATAAAGCAGTCTCAGCTTTAGAACTCTTGAAAGAAAAAATAAAACGTAGTTAAAACACAGGGATGCATTGTGATTTAATGAATTCGATTAAATAAAGAATCTGTATATAACATCTTTCAATGAAATCAAAGAAGAATCAGTTAATGATAGTTCATATCATTATTCTTATTGATTCACCCTATGTAAGATGTCAGTTCTAGTCCTACAATGTTACGTTTTATCCTTGAATCAACGTCTAGGTAATTCAATCTGCTGTTTCCATTATCAATTAATTGGATGCAAAATCGAGTTATCAGTGCTCCGAGTATACAGACGCGATGCCGCTAGAAATTTACGGTTTGTTTAACAATTCCTGTGATCCACCATCCGGATTCTCTCTTGATTAATGTATGCTCCTAGTTTGAACTTGAGCTCCTTCAAGATCGGCAAAGGTAGACTTCTCTCGCGGGACCAAATCATCGCGAATTTGTATCCCTGATGGTGTGTCGTGCTCTCACAATCAGAGCAGACTAACATTCCCAGGACGGTGTCATATTTTACGTACACTACAACGTGTTACGTACACAAAAATGTTTTACACGAAAGACACATGATTTGCTCCCTCAAGTCTATATACATATTACTTTTCTACAATTTGTTTTTGTTTTATAAGATCAGTTTGATTTATCATCGATTTCCATCTTCATATGAAAATTTGAGTTAGAACGTTGCGCACGCTAGTTGGAAAATTAATGTGTACGATCGTGTATGTATAACGGTCCAATATTGACAAGGTTTGGCTACGAGCAAATCTCACTGCGTTTCCGAATTTACGCGTGTCGACATAGCTGCGTCATGCTCGTAGATATCGCGTGTGCGGTCTAACTCTGATTACGCGAACGCAATCACGTTCTTGGTTATACATGGTGACAAATACACTGTTTAAAATAATTATAGGAGTACTTTCAATAGCAGAAGATCAATATCATACAATCTTCTCGTTTATAATGTTGTGTAAAAAAACAGCTACAATATAATACAACCAATTATATTTTGTGTCTGCCTCCCTTTTTATTTATAACGTCACAAATTATGAAAGCAATAATTGAT